GCTACAATGACAGTCAAACATTAGATTGGTCGACATAACACTATGTGTCTCTTCAGTTAAAAGTAGTTTACCTATGACATGCAATTTTGTAAATATCAGTATGTCAGAATTTCGTACACTTCCATTTTCCAGAAGGGAAGAAAATACTAGAAAAGAAGCGACTGGGAACTATGCTGATAGACCGTAAGTCTGACATAGGGCTTAGTGATTAAATTAAGGTCACCGATGCGGTTAAACGAATTGTTAATATGAAGTGGCAGTGGGCAGGACAAATGATGGCCCGTAAACATAGATCTTGGGTCAAAGCAGTGGAAGACTTTGGATGAAAAGACTCTTACAGGAAGATCATAAGTGTAATGAAAGAATCGCCAGAAAGCAGGCACGTATTGGGTTGAAATAGTGCAAGGCTAGGCTAAATGGGACAATTTAAAGTAGGTCTGTATTGAAATTGAGAACAGCTGAGGAGAAGGGATAAAGATACAATTATATATTATTATTATTTGATGACTGGATGGCGTAGTGGTTTGTGTAACGGACTGCTATTCCAAAGGTCGCGGGTTTGATTCTCGCTCAAGTCAAACATTTGTGTGCATGAATATTTGATGTTTGATTTGGTCTGGGCGTTTCTATGTATAATATGTATGTATTTATATCAGTTGTCTAGTACCTATAGTACAAGCTCTGCTTAGTTTGGAATTAGATGGCGTTGTGTGTATGTGGTAGAATATATTGTATTATTATATAGACATTTAAATACATTATACACTCGATATAACTAAATGTATAGATACTAGCCGTTTTTATGGAAGAGAATAGGCATTTTGACTCACAATATGAATACCCCTACTAAGCCATGTTCAATACAATACACAATGCATTATTGTGACGTTAATGGTCATATCAGTTGTGGTTAGAATTCCCGAAAACGCAATTATTTATATAAATACATATGTTTAATTTTAATTAAATAGGTTTCTACGTTTCAACTATTGTTATACCCATTTAAATATTTTAATAATTAGTTGTGTAACATTGTATTATTTTGAAATCTATAATATTTAAACGTTTATGGATTATAGTGATAAATAGCAAATGTATTCTGATCCTTGCTCGTCTATGGAGTTGTTTAAATGTAAACCTATTTGAAAATTTTATCCTGGATTCAAAAAAAAAACCAATTAGGATGGTTTCGGTGCCTGACGTTTCGGTGGCTTGTGAGTGGTTTATATTCTTGCATTTAGGCGATCACGTTACACTGACCGTGGGGTTGAAACGTCAGGCAGTTCAAAAGTATGTTATACCTTTTACGTGATCGCCTTATTTCAAGTATATATACACAATAAGAAACAGAAGCAAGCAGATTTGGGAGAGTATATTCTTCTGCATGAGCAGAAGAATATACTCTACTAATAACCTATGAAGGTTGATGATGTTATCATCTTTAGGACTTCTCATTTAGCACATCACGTTTCTCCATTCTGTTATTGATTGGAATATAATTTAATATATTTTTAAAGATGGGTAACGCATGCCTTACAATGCTAAATAATTACAACCTTATGAATTGTTGAATAAAACTCTATTTAATAAAATCTTATTATGTTTCTTTGATTTAGATTTTTTTAGATTTAAAAAAAGACAACTCCCGTATTAGAAATAAATCCTGTGTCGCGGGGGTCTTTACAAACATACATGAAACGGACACAAAGAACACCAAGGATTTGTGGATCACACAAAGTGTCGTCCCATGTGGGGTTTAAACCCACAACACTCGGCGTAGCAGGAAGCGGCGTGGCGACCGCTTAAAACACTACGCCATCCGTGCAGTACTCTTTATCATTTTATTCAACTTTGATTCCTTTATATTCAAACTTCAGGTTTGTTCATCACTTAGTTCTAAGTAATTTTATTATGTCTTTATTATTGTTTAGTACTACAAACTTATGATTGACTGAAATGTCTCCCCTACGTCATAATTCGTAATGAAACAACGTGCCTGGACCTAGGGTTGTAAAACACATTTAGAAATCACTGATATATTTTTTAGGTTTCGAGAACTTATAATTGTAAGCCTTGAAAGTAAATTATTGTTATTTACAAGTTAAGGGTCTATGTCAGCTATGGCACGTCCACTTATTCTTAACACTCAATATATATATATTGCATTCCACAATGTTTAGATGGTAACTTAAATATAAGATCAGATCTTCAGCGACTAATTTCTTACTTGTTTTACGCTTTTCTTTCACGTTGAACCTATGACTACGTTGAACACTAATAACTTCTGGTATTAAAACAACGAAATTACTTAAAGTAACCTGTATTACATATTTTGTGGGTGTTTTATATATGGTTTGAAGTAAAACATTTTTTCACATTCATAAATCGTATATTTCTCCTCTTATTTTCATATAATTACTATCAAATCATACATAAAAATCTGTCTTTTTATTAAATTGCACATTAATTATTCAACAAATATTTTCCTTAGAACTAAAGACATAGTAAATCTTAAAATACATGAACATAATACGAAACAAAAAATTAAAATTAAAAATTTAATATATAATAACTATGAATTCGTAAGACTGGAATTCTGCACCGAATAATTCACATTTAACAACGAATGTTAAATTCAGACACGAAGGATAAAAAAGTATTTAATTTTTTTAAGAAACCACTTTATGATTCATATTTAATTTTTCATTTATGATAATTTAAAAAAGTAATATATAATATAACAGTAACCGGTAGACGTAACCTCGTGATTATGTCAAACGTATACTATATACTTTAAATAATTGACGTTCATCACGACATAGAAATATGGCTTTTATTAAATATAAATAAAAATTGAATTAACTTTACATAAGTATTCAAATTTATATTAATATATTAATATAGTGCAAAAATCCTGACATTAAACTTACACAGACATCGAATATAGAATTAAAATTATAACAATTTATTAGACTAGTCAAAACTTAGATTTTGATTAACTCAAAATAATCGCCTTATTTTCTGTAAAAGAATTAAAATCGTTGTTCAATAAGACACAGGTTTGTACCGTCGCTTTCAATTTAAATTATGTCTATTATTATGTATTTTTAATAAATATATTAGTTAATGTAGAATAATTATTCAAATCCTATAGTTATTACTTCTGGTAGTTGTATATATTATATATATTATTATTCAAAATATGTTATTATCATATAAGGTATTTATTAATATTTGAGAACTGTTAATGACGTCTGAAAGGAACTATTTACAGAAAAACATGTTTTATCTTACATCACAGCGTGTGCCTGAGAGTCGCAAACTTAACACTAAAATAAAAATTGTCAAAAAGGTATTATTTAAAAAAAAACTTAAACTAAAAAAATATTTTCATCGAACTAATCTTTGGCCTGCAGACCTTTTTTGTCATTATAGTTTGAAATATCGCACGAATGCACATTTTATCTTAACAATTTAACTTTAAACTAACACTGAGACGGAAATTTTAATATCAGTATAAAATGTCCATGGACTTAGAGATGAACCTTATCAAATATTGGAGTTGGTGAAATGACTGCAATTTAAATAACTATGTAAATTAAGTACATTTATCATTTTACGTATAATACATTATGGCAACTCGAAATACACTTACAACTACTAAAATATATCTTGACACTGAACAACTTAATACTATTATTTTATAAATTAATTGGAATGTTCGCAATATCATAACACACTAAGTATTACACACACGTATCTTAGGGTAACAACAATTAAAAAATACTTTATCAAAATTCGTAATGTTTCCTAAGTAAACAACCATCAAAATTTTTGTTCGATAGTACAAACGTACATAGCGAATAAAAATCACTTAAAAAAATAATATGGACATATACATACATACATATGTGTCAGTACGGGTAATTGACTGGACAAGCCAACCGCTCGGTATCCAACAAGTATGTATTTCCAACAATTAATTGATCCAACATCCAAGAGTACAACCATTGAAACTATCTCAAATAGAACACTGGGCCTAGCTTACTTAATTACATTCATTTAACTTTAAAAAAAAAACACCAATCTTTGGGATCACCTCCATTTATAAGAATTATGAGAAGAATAGTCAAAAAGAGTTTGTATTATTCTATTCTCCATAAAACTTCATCAAATGCCTTTTATAGTCCACTGCTGGACATAGGCCTCTCCTTAGAAAGGTTTTGGCTATACCACGCTGGCCAGACGGGTTGGTATTGGGTTTGTTTCAAGTTTTTCTTGTCTTTACAGTGCTGTTGTCCTGCATAGTTTGATCCCTTAATCGGCTCACGACACCTTTGCGATGAATAGGGGTGATGGTGCTACGTATTCTTAATCCGTCACCACAAGGACTAAACAACTTAAGTTCTCGTAAATGACAAACTTACAAACTTTATACCTTAAAAATTATTTACAACATTATTTTTTTTGTCATTTAAACCTCACCGGGTAGAAGGTAAGGTAGTAATGTTTTGCTAAATGAAAATATCAATACTTTGAAACAAATCTCAATTTGCCCAGTCTCATGTATATTGAGATATTTAAATACGTATTACATATAAATTTTAACTACTAGAGGTGATCCCTTTCAATTACAATACCAAAAAACTTATAACAATTAATTTTTACTCAGAAATCCGCTCAAATAAAACATTGATTTTTTGGAAAAATCAATTGACTTCTGCTTGGTAACTTTGCCCGTCTCTCATCGACATTTAGTTAAATTACAGTAAACCATTAACAATCGTATTCAAATCTAACACGCTGTAATCAGCTCCTAAAGCCAGAGACTTCTCCAATTGACTAACTTATCCACTATTACTGTATCTTTGTATTCTTTTCTAATTCATCATTGCCAAGAAAAGGTTCTACTATTCGTAACCATTGACATATCACTCCTTATCTTACTCTGAGCATCGACTTTCAACAATATTTTATACCTAATTTTATGTATAACTAACTTAAGGGTAAGCCATTTCCTTAATGTCCATAAGTTCTGTTTTTACTTTGATAAAGTTTGGGTTATCGGTTTTGAAGTCAGGTCCTTTGTGTCCGAACTGGTAGACGAGACGCGCAGTGGGCACAGATACCAGTACCGACTGCCGGTAATGATACCTCATGGCTCTGCTGAACTTCTCGAAGGTCATGTTGTCGTTCTGTTTCATCTTGCCCCACAACTTCGCTACCTCGTCTGGCTTCACGAACCTGAAATTAATAAACGTCTTATAAGTAAATTTGAAGTTGATCAATTTAAGCTATAGTATATGTTAAATTTATTACATATTGGAGTTAACGTTGTTGAGTCGTTTACAAATATCATTTTGAAGATTGACAGTGCGTTTAAGATCTGTATTAAGGTCATTTAATTAGAGGGCAACGCCATTAAGTTCCTTGAATGTGCAATTACAAATTAATCGTAGTAAAAAAATGTTCACTGTCAAATTTGTTTTAGTGTTTGTATTTATTTTTACCATATATTTATTATATTGTAATACCCATATGTATATGAAGAGAATCAACTTTAAAAAAAAATGTAAATTCAATCTACGAAGAAAATATTTTTTTATAAATATTCGACTAATACTTATATAACATCAATAACTAAACAATTATAATCAAGTCAAGTTGAACTAGGAACGATAATAACACATCTCGTCATTTAATTTAATGCTCATTAAATGAATTCTCAGAGTTTATTGATTAAACTTACATAGTTGTTGCAGCATAAACGTATGTGTATAAGCAACCATGTCAAGTTCTGATGCAAAGTGTCCAGATAATTGTGCGCAGAGTCAAGGATATCTTGTTACAGTCATTATCGGCATAGTTAGCAAACGTGACGAGGAGACCGAGCCGCGAGCGGACAATACAGACGCCGATATGAGAACTAACATAAATATACTTCAAGAATGATCTATTGATGCGTTGCAGTTAGCATCGCAACTAGCGCCGACTCATTGCGCGCCAACAACAATGTGTGGTCACACATGATTAACTACTGAATGCGACTAAACTTGATATTATTATTTGAGTAAACAATTCAGCTTTGCTTAAACATTTACACTTATTTCTAAACCAACGTATTTATGTCAATGTGACTTTATATCAATTCATGCGTCTCCGAGTGCATTATTTCTTTCCTAAACAATAATATTTAATTTTAGTAGGTCATCGACTCTATTAAAAAATTCTAGCCTATCTTCTATTTATAGCTTTCCTCTTGAGTGTAATAGAACTTAACATTGAGAGTCTAGGTCAAATGCAAATCCAATGATTCGTTACTGCAAAGGGAATTACATCTATTTTATAGTTATCTATAAAACTGTTAGAACTCAGTGCCATTGGCATAGCGTGTTTGTATTGTTTTTCTTAGTTTCACTTGTTACAATTGTATTTTTTGTCTTGAAGAGTAGCTGGTACTAAGCTGCAATGCCACATCCTTATTGATTGCCACATTAAACCTTAACAGACAATAATAGCTTACCAATTATATTATTTTTCTTCCGACATTTAATCTTGGCTTATTGCTGAAATTCTGTTTGCCTGTTTTGTAATTTTATCATTCCATTGTCCTAATCATTATTTGAAGGTTTTTTTTTTCAATTATTATCAATAAATAGTAGCTAATTAAATACATGCCTCGAAGCTCCTAGACATGCTTTCTATTATAAAACAGCTAGTACAACTCCAATTACATAAGGAATTGGTAATAATAGAGGAAGGTCTCAGTAATTGGCATATTAAGTCCCTAGAGGTAATCCTAGGGCCAAGATCGCTGTAATACTCGATTTCTTTATGGGGGACAAATTTTGTCATCTCAAAAAAATCCAGTGTAATTTATCATTAACCTTGTTTGAGAGTCGTACGAACTATAAAAATTGTGATTCATACGAATTTGGATGCTCGTTGCGTACGAACGAGGCCGGCTGGCGGCCTTGTGTTGTATCGCTGCATCAGTTAGGCCAAGGATCGAGTGTGACCCTACGTGACACGCATGGATACCAAACTGTAGACAGTTCAGTGAAAATACGTTACGTATGTACTGATAAAAAATATATTGAGGAGAATACCTGGCCTGATTTGGAATAACAAAAAACACTACACAAACATTGCGTTGAAGGCGTATGAGAGTCATTATTTCAATAATTCAAGGTGCAGATTGCAATATGGAAATTGACAACAGATCCTTCTGAGAATTAATTTGATGCCAAAATAGGTCCCAAAATTTAGTTAATTTACAAGTGATTTGAGCGTGAATGACTCACAATGTTGCATAAACATACCACATATATATATATATATATATATATGGTGTGGTAACCTGTTTGAGCCCCCTCTCTCAATGATCCCCCGCAACTCAAGTCGCTAAACGTGACTGTGACTTTCGTAAACAAGTTTTTGCAAGACCTCCTTTGTTTTTTTTTTGTATTTGTCATGGAAAGATTTCTCATAAAGCTTGTTCTTTGTTGCTGTATGTAAATAAGGACATATCAAAAGCATACTGTACATTTTTTTTTATTAAATTGTTACACATCTAAAATTCAATTGTAATTCTGTCACCGTAGTTACCATTCAGAAGAAAGGCAATGTAAGAAAAGGTATGTTGCTTCTATTAATGAATTAGGGATTGTAAGAAATAGCTCGAGCAGATATAGATATTATACAAGTCTGAGCCTTCTAATACAGTTCAGCTTGATATTCATTACTGTTGTATAATCAAACTCTATTAGCTAAGTTACCAACTGGAGGTGTGATAGATAGATTGATAAGTCATTCCTATTACGTCATATGACTTGCTGCCTGATACGGTAATATAATTGTAACAGGTGTATTGATAAAGCACTGACCTTGACAGCCATGTTTTGATCATGAATTAATAAAGAAACTTTAACGACATGACATATTTCTTTAAATATATGCACAAATGTCATGTGAATTACCTGGAATATTTAAGTGTGACTTGGCAGGAAGAGGGACTTCACCGCGGGTATGAACCGACAGCTGTTGTTGGTCACTACGCGCTATCATATGCAATGTTAAATAATATTTTTTTGCTGTCATTGTTATTGTAGATCATGCATATGTTTTTTCGACAACTTATGCTTATCATAAAAATATTTGTTAGTTTAACTTTGTATTGAATCATTTCAAACTGGTTAGACTGGTTAAAAAGTAAATATATATTTTTGCAAATAGTAGTAGGACATCACAAATCCCAGTTTACTTAGCATTTATAGATTCCAATAAACTTTAGATTCTAACTAACTTTAAATTAATAATAATATAATAATATCACACTTCTCACACACGGCCGTCTGATCCCAAACTAGGCAGAGCCTGTGCTATGGTAACCAGACTGCTGATAAACATACTTATATATTTCTAAATACATACATATTATAGATAAATTACACCCAGACACAGAACAAACGATCGTGCTCATCACACAAATACTTGTTCTGGGTGGGAATCGAACCCACGACCTCCGGTTTAGCAGTCAGGGTCACTAACCACTAGACCAACAGGCCCGTCAAATTCATTTGTTAATACAATTTGTTGATATTGAAATCCTATGATTTCTAGTCATTTTATTTTATAATATTAATTTATAATACAGTTACTAAATTTAGAGTTGTATTTCAATTTTTAAGGGCTTTATGTTTAACATTTGCCTTGTTTACGAATAGTTGTTCTCTACTAGTCTAGTATTTATGGACATTCGTACCAATGTCCTGTTATTTACGTAAAATATTTACTTTGTTATGGTCAGTGTTATCTTTATCAGTGAACCGTAGTCACGTTCGTAGAAAGATAATGGTAGCTTTAATCAGAATGCACCTAATGACTTCAATCATTGGGGTTATCAAGCAATGCAATAATACTATAGTACCTATAATGGAGGTTATGGCTTCATTCATACTGATTCAGAAAGTATTTGGCTACTTGATTTATATCTCTCACATCATCATCACATCAACAGCCTTTAATACTGCTAGACATAGGTCTCTCCTTAGAAAGGATTTATATCTGTAAAGTAAGTTAATTTGTGAAAGGGCGGTAAGTTGCTAATTTCTAATACATCTGGTGACTAATTCGTCATTAATTAGAACGTCATCAAGGTAAACTAAATTACTCATTGCTAGATAATAATCTCCATACGACCAAAGTTTTTATATGTTGTTTCTTTTTTATTTGTCTGCTAGTCCTTAAAATTAACACAGTGAATAACATCTATTATAAGCTTATTATAAACAATTTTTTACAATCTTCCTACGAAGCACAATCATTTAAATACATACTATAGAGTAATTAACGTTAGTCAAAACGGGCAAGTTTTTGTAAGATTTAATTATGATATGCTCTCAAAATGACTTTTTTATAAAGCATTGATTTTGGATGTATTTGTTAAATTTTTGTCCATATTTTGTGTTTTAGTAAAGGAGTAAATCCTTTTTCGGATCCCAAATGACCATATCACCAAATAAGAATGAGTTACATTAAATAAAATTCATAGTCAACAATCGGTCCTAAAATAATCTCTTAAGTTTCTAATGGAGTAAATTAAAAGTAGAGTAGACTAGAAGTTGTATTGGGTCCTCTAATAGAGCAAATATGACGAGAAAGAATGAAAGTAAAAAGTGTATTATCTGATAAAATACAGAAACGATGTAAGTGAAAGCCCTATATACAAAAATGTATAGGTGGAAAAGAGTTAAAATTGCTCAGAAATAAATCTGTTTCAATGTAACAATTCCAACGTAGTGTTAGTCCAAAGTTGCAGTGGAAATTTTTGGCAAGGAGCTTCACTCTCACAGCAGTGTCTAAATGATTTTAACCACAATTTCAATAATGGTACGGTTGTATTTCACTTGTACATAAGTACCGTATGATTATTTTAATATTCACAACATGTCAGGTTTAATGCGTTCCAGGTATTCTGTGTAAGCTACGTAAACAAACGCTTGCAGAGTACTAGTGGATTTCTTTTAAAGTTTTCTTTTACGAGCTTTTTATGTTTTACTGGTAACTTTTTTGTATTTAAGACATATTTTTCAATTCAATTATTCTTATTTTGTAGAATTTTAAACACAGCATTCTTAATTTTGATCCAACTTTTTATATATACCTAAATCATTTAATAAAATTTTACTTGAAAACATTAACATTAACAGAAATGCACATTCATTTGATGTCAATCACCATGA